GTAGCCCCATATCCAGAGGGCACTTCTTGCAAGCTTGCACACTGAGCTGGATTCTCCTATGATACACAGTTGAGTGCAGCTGGGACTCTTGAAAGTATTCAGGTGATTTGCATGGAGGTATTTGTAATTCATTCATATTTAGGTCCAGGAACAAGCAAGTGCAAGTGACACTGACTTTTGCGCTTGCTAGTATAATAGTTCTTCAACTTTTTATTTATGTCAGAGAATGAATAGATAGCACAGAACTATGTGTGCAGAGAGGCTCCCTGGGCTAAACAGCTATAATTAGAGAGAAAGCCCCAGATCCTGAGAGGAAACCTGCCATATCCTCAAGCTGCATCTGCTCCTGGGGTTTCAAGACAGAATTGGTGAGCAGTGTGCACCTCCTGGTGACCAGATCCCCTTCTACAGTAAGGTTTGTGTCTGGGCTCACACTGACATCCCCTCACTGCGTCCTTTGCACAGTAATAGATGGCTGTGTCCTCGTCTCTCAGGCTATTCATCTGCAGATACAGCGTGTTCTTGCCATTGTCTCTGGAGATGGTGAATCGGCCCTTCACAGAGTCCGCGTAGCCTGTGTTACTTCCATCACTACTAATAACTGCGACCCACTGCAGCCCCTTTCCTGGAGCCTGGCGGACCCAGTACATGTAGTAGCTGCTGAAAGTGAATCCAGAGGCAGCACAGGAGAGTCTCAGGGACCCACCAGGCTTCACCAGGTCTCCCCCAGACTCCACCAGCTGCACCTCACACTGGACACCTGCAGACACAAGACATCCTGGTCAGGAAACTATCACACATATCCATGGTTTCTCTTACTCTTATCCACTCACATACTCAAGGGACTCATGTCTCTTGTTCTCTGTGAATTACCTTTTAAAATAGCAACAAAGAAACCCTAATGAAACACAAACTCCATGGTGAGTTGTCTGTGTTCTGTCCTGATTATGAACGCGAACCCCTGGGAATCCCAAGGCTGGGGCTCCTCTCCCATTTGCAGGTTTAGGGTTGGGCGGTTTTAATCAGCAGAAGGAGGGCCATATTTGCATGTCCTCTGACTAAATAGCCAACTTGTGATCTATGCTGACAGAGAGGGCAGTGACCAGAGCAGGTGTGACTGCCTTCGATTTGTTGTTATTGAGAGAATTTGGGAAACTATGTTTTTTATTATATGATATTCCAGATCACAAATTTAACCTCCATGTGCTACTTTTTTTTACACATGCACAGAAATCTTTAGGTGTAGATTTCATGTGACACCATTAAGATATGTGAACATATACCCAGATTTTAGAGGATTTGTGAGGTGTCCAAGAGCATGTATGGGGTAAGAGTGACCCCGGTATCTGTTCTGTGCTCCTCCCAAAGGATGTATAGCATCCCTGAACTACCTGCAGGACAGAATGGGCAGGCTCATTAAGAATGTGGAACCCCTCCTGTAATGGAGACAGGATGATTGTCCTTGTTCTCGAGTTTACCTGAAATACAGAGAGAATAATGTTCATGCAGGTGTATTTTCCAGTTTTTTTTTCACTCTTTTTATTTTTCTTATGTTAATCCCCATACATTACAACATTAGTTTTAGATGTAGTGTTCCATGATTCAGTGTTTGTGCATAACACCCAGTGCTCCATGCAGAATGTGCCCTCCTCAATACCTACCACCAGGCTAACCCATCCTCCC